TGTGGGATGTTAAGAGAGTGGGAATGGCCTCGTTTATGTAAATGGAGCTTTTATCTGGCTAGTTACAAGTGGCACCTTTTGTGTCTTGGTTGTTCTTGATGGAATGGTAGAGTAGTTAGTTGTGAGGTGTGAGGGGGGGGGGGGGGTCGTAGAGAACCTAACTGGTCCTGTCTAGTGGTCCTGTTTAGTGGCCCTGTCTAGTGGTCCTGTTTAGTGGTCCTGTCTATGGTCCTCTCTAGTGATCCTGTCTAGTGATGCTGTCTAGTGGTCCTGTCTAGTGATGCTGTCTAGTAGTCCTGTCTAGTGGTCCTGTCTAGTGATCCTGTCTACTGATCCTGTCTAGTGGTCCTGTCTAGTGATCCTGTCTAGTGATATTGCCTAGTGATCCTGTCTACTGATCCTGTCTACTGATCCTGTCTAGTGGTCCTGTCTAGTGATCCTGTCTAGTGATATTGCCTAGTGATCCTGTCTACTGATCCTATCCTGAACATTACCGTGAATATAATGTTACACAGGTAAGTCCAGGAAGCGTTATCCCCTAATTAGAGGTGAGTGCTTCACTATACACCTAACTTGAGACTCAAGCTACACCCCCCCTCAAGTCACCCACCCATCAGACTTTATTAAATTATAATTATTATTATTATTGTAATTATTAATATTAATAATTTTAATGGGAAGACAACGTAGGTCCGGCACCGGTTTGTAAATTTGCGAATACAGTCTACGGGAATGCGGCTCCACGTTTCACTATGTGCTGAGTTACGGGCTGTGTATCTATACATCTCGAGGTTATCTTGAGATGATTTCGGGGCTTTTTTTAGTGTCCCCGCGGCCCGGTCCTCGACCAGGCCTCCACACCCGCAGGAAGCAGCCCGTGACAGCTGACTAACACCCAGGTACCTATTTTACTGCTAGGTAGCAATAATTAGATGTCAGTACTATAAGGATCGCGTTAAACTGATAGCATTAGGGAATTATTGCTCAATGTTTAGGATAGCATTTTCTTGTTGCAAGCATGAACATATTTTTAAACCGTTTAGATAATCGAGTGTGTGTAATGTTGGCCTCAATTAACGAGGTCAATTTATGGATCAAGACATTTCTGGCAATTTTTGAGTTGTTGACAAATCATTTACGAGATATTTTGACTTTGTGAATTGGGTATAATTTAGTTGGGCAGCTGCTGTTAAGATGAGTTGTGTAATTGTGGGTGTTTATGGCTCATACTGGGGGTTATTATGGGGGTTATGGCTCCCACCCACTCTCTCTCTCCCACCCACACACACTCTCATACACCCACTGTCTCACCCACCCACACACCCACTCTCTCTCTCCCACCCATACACCACTCTCTCTCCCACCCATACACACTCCCACACACCCAGTGTCTCACCCACCCACACACCCACTCTCTCACTCACTCACACACCCACTCTCTCACCGCCCACACACCCACTCTCTCACTCACTCACACACCCTCTCTCTCACCCACCCACACCGCAACTTACCCTCGCTCAGCAACTCATCATCCGCCCTTCCCCACACCCACCCCCACACTCACCACCCACCCACACCCACCCACCACCCAACAGTACAGACCAATGTCAGACAACTGTCAAATACCACAACCAAGGTAAACAGTTGCCAATTCGTAGCAGCGAGACGACCCTTTTCTCAACCAATTACTCCCCCACATTCTGCACCAAACATCCCGGTGCTCTTCCCCCACAACATGTTACTCTCTCTACCTCACAATTATGCAAAATGAATAACAAAAATGCTAAAAAAATTGCATTCAGAACATTGTAGTGAATGCGGTACTGGTGGAGAGGTTTGTTTACAGTGTTGTCATGACGACGAGCGCCAGCACCGGCAGCCATGTTGCTTCTCGCCCGATAGGAAAGATCTCTTTGGATACCTTATGTAATTAGTAAGTCCATTGCGGGCTCACCATAGCCTGTGCTACCAGGAGCTCTTTGTTCCCGGTAGCGAATCTTAAATAGCAACAACCTTATATATTTTTTGATAGATTTAGCATTTTTTTATAGTTTTTATGAAGTTTTACTTACAATATATAAATTTAGGACATAATATTGGGCGAATCAAATATGTTTTGGAGACAATTGGAAATGGGAGCTGAATATTTAGGGGAAAATAAGATGGGGTTCTGGGAGTTCTTCTATTCCCCAAGCCCGGCCCGAGGCCAGGCTTGACTTGTGAGAGTTTGGTCCACCAGGCTGTTGCTTGGAGCGGCCCGCAGGCCCACCACAGGTATAGAAGATTCAGCTGTTTCTTTGCGCACGTCCAACGGTAAATATTTCCTAATCTCTTCTTAAAGCATCGAACCCTCTTGCAGCGACCTGACCTGACACGTTGCAAGAACTATGTGCTTAACTCCCGCCTGGTAGGCCTACTGTGACGGACCTCGACGCCATCTATCATCCAGGTTCCGAACTAAAACAGTTGACCCTCACATGAATATTAGTTTCCCGTCTTGTGGTCCGCTGTGTTGGGAGGTGACCAGCTGCCAGTGAGAGGCGGAGAGTGAACCACGGAGAGTGGACGAGTACTGGGGTCGACCTTGGGACGAGCTAGCCAGTGGGGCTAGTTTAGCGGAGTGGACTTCACTCCTGGAGGGTACTAGCCACTGGGGCTAGTTTAACGTAGTGGACTTCACTCCTGGAGGGTACTAGCCACTGGGGCTAGTTGAGCATAACTAGCGTCAGGGCTAGTGACGCTCTGAATGACCTCTCATAGCGACTCGTAAACAGCAGACTTGTAAACGCTTATTTTCAAGTGCTATATAATTGTTCGCCTTAAATCTCCTTCAATCCTTAATTATCCTATCCTATTATAATCCTATAATTATAATTATAATAATTATCCTATTATTAAAAAAATCCTCCTATAATCCTTAAACCTCACCCAACATCACCACCAAGGTTAGTGACCTCTGATCTTGAGCAGGATCGTAGAGGTGTAGCATACCCTCGTTACTGAAGACCTCGTAACATAACGTAACGTTCTGTAGATCTTCGCAATAACCATCTTGTAGGAACTACCCCTCCCAACCCCCCCCCCCTGTCACTATCCTTTAGGCCTACCGTATTACCTCCCTGAAGGGCTGACCAATCACCACTCTGGAAGCTTCCCAAACTTGTGTTGGGGTAAACAGGTTCAAGTTTTAAATCCTCTTAGGGAGGGTCATTTTGGGTAGGGGAGAGGAGGAGGAGGAGGAGGAGGAGGAGGAGGAGGAAGAGGAGGAGGAGGAGGAGGAGGAGGAGGAGGAAGAGGAGGAGGAGGAGGACAAGGAAGAGCAGAGAAGAGCTCTCTTTAGTGTAAGTGAGGGGGAAAGAAACAGGGAAAACGAGTAGAGAGAGAAGAGGGGGGAGGGGGAGAAAAGAGAAGAATGGAGCGAGTGAGAGAGAAGAGGAAGGAGAGAAGGAAGGAAGGAAGGGGGGGGGGGGAGAATTAAGAAAGTGAGGGAAGGGAAGGAGGAAGCACCAAGCCATTAGGACTAGAGTATTTAGATAGGGGGGTCACGGGTGTGGTCACGGGGGTCACGGGTGTGGTAACGGGTGTGGTCACGGGGGTCATGGGTGTGGTCACGGGGGTCACGGGTGTGGTAACGGGTGTGGTCACGGTGGTCACGGGTGTGGTAACGGGTGTGGTCACGGGTGTCATGGGTGTGGTCACGGGTGTGGTAACGGGTGTGGTCACGGGGGTCACGGGGGTCATGGATGTGGTCACGGGGGTCATGGGTGTGGTCACGGGGGTCATGGGTGTGGTCACGGGGGTCACGGGTGTGGTCACGGTGGTCATGGGTGTGGTCACGGGGGTCATGGGTGTGGTCACGGGGGTCATGGGTGTGGTCACGGGGGTCACGGGGGTCATGGGTGTGGTCACGGGGGTCATGGGTGTGGTCACGGGGGTCATGGGTGTGGTCACGGGGGTCATGGGTGTGGTCACGGGGGTCATGGGTGTGGTCACGGGGGGTCACGGGTGTGGTCATGGGTGTGGTCACGGGGGTCACGGGTGTGGTCACGGGGGTCATGGGGGTCACGGGTGTGGTCACGGGAGTCATGGGTGTGGTCACGGGAGTCATGGGTGTGGTCACGGGGTCATGGGTGTGGTCACGGGGTCATGGGGGTCACGGGTGTGGTCACGGGAGTCATGGGTGTGGTCATGGGTGTGGTCACGGGGGTCATGGGTGTGGTCACGGGGGTCATGGGGGTCACGGGTGTGGTCACGGGAGTCATGGGTGTGGTCATGGGTGTGGTCACGGGGGTCATGGGTGTGGTCACGGGGGTCATGGGTGTGGTCACGGGGGTCATGGGGGTCACGGGTGTGGTCACGGGAGTCATGGGTGTGGTCATGGGTGTGGTCACGGGGGTCATGGGTGTGGTCACGGGGGTCATGGGTGTGGTCACGGGGGTCATGGGTGTGGTCACGGGGGTCATGGGTGTGGTCACGGGGGTCATGGGTGTGGTCACGGGGGTCATGGGTGTGGTCACGGGGGTCATGGGTGTGGTCACGGGGGTCATGGGTGTGGTCACGGGGTCATGGGGGTCACGGGTGTGGTCACGGGAGTCATGGGTGTGGTCATGGGTGTGGTCACGGGGGTCATGGGTGTGGTCACGGGGGTCATGGGTGTGGTCACGGGGGTCATGGGTGTGGTCACGGAGGTCATGGGTGTGGTCACGGGGGGTCACGGGGGTCACGGGGGTCACGGGTGTGGTCACGATGGTCATGGGTGTGGTCACGGGGGTCACGGGGGTCATAGGTGTGGTCACGGGGGTCACGGGGGTCATGGGTGTGGTCACGGGGGTCATGGGTGTGGTCACGGGGGTCATGGGTGTGGTCACGGGGGTCATGGGTGTGGTCACGGGGGTCACGGGGGTCATGGGTGTGGTCACGGGGATCACGGGGGTCATGGGTGTGGTCACGGGGGTCATGGGTGTGGTCACGGGGGTCATGGGTGTGGTCACGGGGGTCATCGGTGTGGTCACGGGGTCACGGGTGTGGTCACGGGGGTCATGGGTGTGGTCACGGGGGTCACGGGGGTCATGGGTGTGGTCAAGGGGTCATGGGTGTGGTCACGGGGGTCATGGGTGTGGTCACGGGGGTCACGGGTGTGGTCACGGGGGTCATGGGTGTGGTCACGGGGGTCATGGGTGTGGTCACGGGGTTCATGGGTGTGGTCACGGGGTCATGGGTGTGGTCACGGGGGTCATGGGTGTGGTCACGGGGGTCATGGGTGTGGTCACGGGGGTCATGGGTGTGGTCACGGGGGTCATGGGTGTGGTCACGGGGGTCATGGGTGTGGTCACGGGGGTCACGGGGGTCATGGGTGTGGTCACGGGGGTCATGGGTGTGGTCACGGGGGTCATGGGTGTGGTCACGGGGGTCATGGGTGTGGTCACGGGGGTCATGGGTGTGGTCACGGGGGTCATGGGTGTGGTCACGGGGGTCATGGATAGTCCCATCCAGGATGAGAATCGATGGATAGAATATAGATCATTGGCTGGATGAATAGTTGCTGGATTGATGAGTCATTAGTGACGGATAGTTGTTGAACTGACAGGTGGGTGTACTGACAGGTGGGTGTACTGACAGGTGGGTGTACTGACAGGTGGGTGTACTGACAGATGGGTGTACTGACAGGTGGGTGTACTGACAGGTGGGTGTACTGACAGGTGGGTGTACTGACAGGTGGGTGTACTGACAGGTGGGTGTACTGACAGGTGGGTGAACTGACAGGTGGGTGTACTGACAGGTGAGTGAACTGACAGGTGGGTGTACTGACAGGTGGGTGTACTGACAGGTGGGTGTACTGACAGATGGGTGTACTGACAGGTGGGTGTACTGACAGGTGGGTGTACTGACAGGTGGGTGTACTGACAGGTGGGTGTACTGACAGGTGGGTGAACTGACAGGTGGGTGTACTGACAGGTGGGTGTACTGACAGATGGGTGTACTGACAGATGGGTGTATTGACAGGTGGGTGAACTGACAGGTGGGTGAACTGACAGGTGGGTGTACTGACAGGTGGTGTACTGACAGGTGGGTGTACTGACAGGTGGGTGAACTGACAGGTGGGTGTACTGACAGGTGAGTGTACTGACAGGTGGGTGTACTGACAGGTGGGTGTACTGACAGGTGGTGTACTGACAGGTGGGTGTACTGACAGGTGGGTGAACTGACAGGTGGGTGTACTGACAGGTGGTGTACTGACAGGTGGGTGTACTGACAGGTGGGCGAACTGACAGGTGGGTGAACTGACAGGTGGGTGTACTGACAGGTGGGTGTACTGACAGGTGGGTGAACTGACAGGTGGGTGTACTGACAGGTGGGTGAGCTGACAGGTGGGTGAACTGACAGGTGGGTGTACTGACAGGTGGGTGAACTGACAGGTGGGTGAACAGAACCTAAACACCTAACCTAACCAACGCCTAATTATGCACAATATGCTAATATGTAAAAATATTAATTTATATTTGAGAAAAGTTCTGTTTTGAATGAACACAATGTTAAAATTGACGAATTCGTCTTTGGGGTCGACCGCTGGATGGAATGGACTTGGTCCAAGGACAGGTTGCACAGACAGACAGACAGACAAACAAACAGACAGAAAATGAGAGTGGGTGTAAGGGATAACTTTTATTTTTTTCTGTTTTCTGCTCCATATCCATTCCATTTCTCGTGATTTAAATTTAATTTTCTATAACGAATTGCTCCATCTTACACCAACAGCTGATTCCCATTTTCTATGCCGCAGTAATGTATATTTACGAGGTTCGTTAACGTATCGTAACCAAAATGACTTCGTTTTCTCTATGGGTGCATCCCATTTTCTTTGACTCAGTTAAAACGTTTTATTTCAGTTGTATTGTCAGTTTTCTACGCAATATTTACCGTTAGTGCGTGTGTGTGTACTCACCTAATTGTGCTTGCGGGGGTTGAGCTCTGACTCTTTGGTCCCGCCTCTCAACCGTCAATCAACTGGTGTACAGGTTCCTGAGCCTACTGGGCTCTATCATATCTACACTTGAAACTGTGTATGGAGTCAGCCTCCACCACATCACTGCCTAATGCATTCCACCTGTTAACTACTCTGACACTGAAAACAAAAATTCTAATGTCTCTGAGGCTCATTTGGGTACTAAGGTTCCACCTGTGTCCCCTTGTTCGTGTCCCACCCGTGCTGAAGAGTTTGTCTTTGTCCACCCTGTCAATTCCTCTGAGAATTTTGTAGGTGGTTATCATGTCTCCCCTTACTCTGTGTGAGTGTGTGTGTTTTTCTTTTATTTATCGGACTGTAGGTGTTCAATTATTTCCTTTCCAATTACCACTCCTGTCTGTCTGTCTGTCTGTCTGTCTGTCTGTCTGTCTGTCTGTCTGTCTGTCTGTCTGTCTGTCTGTCTGTCTGTCTGTCTGTCTGTCTGTCTCTCTCTCTCCCCTCTCTCTCTCTCTCTCTCTCTCACTCTCTCTCTCTCTCTCTCTCTCTCTCTCTCTCTCTCTCTCTCTCTCTCTCTCTCTCTCTCTCTCTCTCTCTCTCTCCTCTCTCTCTCTCTCTCTCTCCTCCTCAGGTTTCTAACAGGTGCATGAATCAACAGGTGTATAAATCAACAGGTGTATGAATCAACAGGTGCATGAATGAACAGGAACATGAATCAACAGGAACATGAATCAACAGGAACATGAATCAACAGGAACATGAATCAACAGGAACATGAATCAACAGGTACATGAATCAACAGGTACATGAATCAACAGGAACATGAATCAACAGGAACATGAATCAACAGGAACATGAATCAACAGGTACATGAATCAACAGGAACATGAATCAACAGGAACATGAATCAACAGGTACATGAATCAACAGGTGTATGAATCAACAGGAACATGAATCAACAGGTACATGAATCAACAGGAACATGAATCAACAGGAACATGAATCAACAGGTACATGAATCAACAGGTGTATGAATCAACAGGTACATGAATCAACAGGTGCATGAATCAACAGGTGCATGAATCAACAGGTGCATGAATCAACAGGTGCATGAATCAACAGGTGCATGAATCAACAGGTGCATGAATCAACAGGTGCATGAATCAACAGGTGCATGAATCAACAGGTGCATGAATCAACAGGTGCATGAATCAATAGGAACATGAATCAACAGGTGCATGAATCAACAGGTACATGAATCAACAGGTGCATGAATCAATAGGAACATGAATCAACAGGTACATGAATCAACAGGTGTATGAATCAATAGGAACATGAATCAACAGGTGTATGAATCAATAGGAACATGAATCATAGGAACATGAATCAACAGGTGCATGAATCAACAGGTGTATGAATCAATAGGAACATGAATCAACAGGTGTATGAATCAACAGGTGCATGAATCAACAGGTGTATGAATCAATAGGAACATGAATCAACAGGTGTATGAATCAATAGGAACATGAATCAACAGGTGTATGAATCAATAGGAACATGAATCAATAGGAACATGAATCAACAGGTGCATGAATCAACAGGTGTATGAATCAATAGGAACATGAATCAACAGGTGTATGAATCAACAGGTGCATGAATCAACAGGTGTATGAATCAATAGGAACATGAATCAACAGGTGTATGAATCAACAGGTGCATGAATCAACAGGTGTATGAATCAATAGGAACATGAATCAACAGGTGTATGAATCAACAGGTGTATGAATCAACAGGTATATGAATCAACAGGTACATGAATCAACAGGTGTATGAATCAACAGGTGTATGAATCAACAGGTACATGACTCAACAGGTGTATGAATCTACAGGTGTATGAATCAACAGGTGTATGAATCTACAGGAACATGAATCAACAGGTGTATGAATCTACAGGAACATGAATCAACAGGTGTATGAATCTACAGAAACATGAATCAACAGGTGTATGAATCTACAGGAACATGAATCAACAGGTGTATGAATCTACAGGAACATGAATCAACAGGTGTATGAATCTACAGGAACATGAATCAACAGGTGTATGAATCTACAGGAACATGAATCAACAGGTGTATGAATCTACAGGAACATGAATCAACAGGTGTATGAATCTACAGGAACATGAATCAACAGGTGTATGAATCTACAGGAACATGAATCAACAGGTGTATGAATCTACAGGAACATGAATCAACAGGTGTATGAATCTACAGGAACATGAATCAACAGGTGTATGAATCTACAGGAACATGAATCAACAGGTGTATGAATCTACAGGAACATGAATCAACAGGTGTATGAATCTACAGGAACATGAATCACAGGTGTATGAATCTACAGGAACATGAATCAACAGGTGTATGAATCTACAGGAACATGAATCAACAGGTGTATGAATCTACAGGAACATGAATCAAACAGGTGTATGAATCTACAGGAACATGAATCAACAGGTGTATGAATCTACAGGAACATGAATCAACAGGTGTATGAATCTACCAGGAACATGAAATCAACAGGTGTATGAATCTACAGGAACATGAATCAACAGGTGTATGAATCTACAGGAACATGAATCAACAGGTGTAGAATCTACAGGAACATGAATCAACAGGTGTATGAATCTACAGGACCATGAATCAACAGGTGTATGAATCTACAGGAACATGAATCAACAGGTGTATGAATCACAGGAACATGTGATCAACAGGTGTATGATCACAGGAACATACAGGAACATGAATCAACAGGTGTATGAATCTACAGGAACATGAATCAACAGGTGTATGAATCTACAGGAACATGAATCAACAGGTGTATGAATCTACAGGAACATGAATCAACAGGTGTATGAATCTACAGGAACATGAATCAACAGGTGTATGAATCTACAGGAACATGAATCAACAGGTGTATGAATCTACAGGAAACATGAATCAACAGGTGTATGAATCTACAGGAACATGAATCAACAGGTGT